TGAAACCCATTTCAAAATGTTATGAAACCAGATGTGAGTAAAGCTGGCAGTGATCTCTATGGATATTTGAGAGAAAAGTATCTCAGATTTATTTATAAAGACTGAAACTAAATCTGTACCTGTTAGAAATAATACAGCCAAAAACATAAGTCAAAAGTTCATTTGTTGCCAATACTTCTGAGTATCTTAACCAAAGTGATTTAAGTTTGGAAGAGGTGGGGAGGGGAGTGAAGAAAACCTGCACTATTCTGAATTTGAACACTTAAATTCTCATTCTTACTGGTAAGTTTTCAGCGGTGTGTTTGGTTTTACACTTTTTTTACTATTAAAGTTTTAAGATCAAACCATGTTTGCCTTGGACTCTCTGTGCTGGCATTATGCAGGAATCTTTCTTGAAAAGGACAGTTGTTATGGTTGCATAACAAATATTCAGTCATGCATATGCAGTGGTTAAAAAAAAAAAAAATCCTAAACTGAACTTGGCAAAATCAGCTTCAGCAGGGGTTGTACAGTTGAAGAAAAACAGCCTTGCTATTGTATAGCAGGAAAGCAGAGTTCAGTGTGTCGTGGTTTTGTGCCTTAAAGTGCGCAATCTTCCTGCCATTGTCTTCCAAAATGCTGAAATTCATAATCTGAAACAAAATATGGAGGGGGTAGGGTAAGCATGCAAATTCCTGCTGTGGTTTGGTTGTGTGCAGCAGTGGTTACTAAAGTCTGAAGCATCTTGAAGAGTGCAAGCTAAGAATGAGCTGCTAAGGCTAAGCAACTCTAATGGCAGCTCACAAATTTAGACCAAAAGTCTTCAATTTTAAAGCATTCAGTGTCTATTTTAGACTTCTAGAAGTTGCTGCATTTTCAGTGGAAACAGTAGAATGACTTTTTGGTCAATTTTCAGTTGGCACAGCTGAGGAAAGCTTCATTGGGAATTTCTTAAATATTTTAGCTTGAATAGCCTGGGTTTAACTTCAGTGTAGCAGCTGAGGAGGTAAGTGTTAACAGCTGCAATCTGATGGCCCACATTCTCCAGGTATATTGATTTCCCTGAAACTACACTCAAATTTTGTGAAAAGGAATTAAATACATATTTTTATGTATGTTAATACACATATATCTATATATCTATATATAAAAGCTTGTGAGACACAGCCTGGTCTTGAAGAACTAAAGCATGATGGTCTCCTTTTGAGTCAGGAACAGGTGTACAAAGTTTATAAAGGAAAAAAAAACCTGCTCTTCCCAGCAAGTGGGATGATTTGACGTGTGCATATTCCTGCAGATCCATCCTGTGGCTTGTGCAGCCTTTGGCTTTAATCATGGGGATTTGCAGGTGCTAAATTAGCCACAGGAGGGCCCATGGTCTGTTCTCTGAATGCAGCAGGAACATATTGAGATGAATAATGAAATTAGGTCTCAATTGCCTTTACTGCACATCAGAGTAGCTCCAAAATTCATGAGAACAAAGCATTACATGCTGGATTAATTGAACAAAGCATATAGGTGAGAGCTGTGGGTGATAGTGGGTTCTTTCAGCTGGAAGGCCAAGAAGGGCTCCTATAGATAGATAATGATGATTTTTCTGGCCAGTGAAATACCACAGGAGCTGCCCCATGCATAGTTTGGAGTCATCATGTGTTTAAATTCTTACATTGTGCAGTGATAATGTTGTGCCTTCATGGGCTGCAAATGGGGACAGATGAATTTCATATTCCATAAAGCCTCATGTGAGGCTGGCTGTGTGACAAGAGAGTCTGTAGATTGTGATGGTGCTTCTGGCCTGCTCTAGTTAACTTTCAAACACAGAATTCAAAGTACATATGATAATTCCTATAAATAATTCATTACTACCCAAAAACACATAAAAGGTCAGAGCTTTGCTGAGTTTTAGTCAGTGAATTCTTTTATTCAGCTGCAAATTATGCCTTCTCTATTTCATTGTCTTCTTTGTGTGTTCAGTAGCTTGACTGCTATTACACTTTTATTAAATATCAGAGGAGTGCTACAGAGGTTACATAAACTTGCTGTGTTTCCTAAGAATTAAAACATCAGCTGCAACTCAGCAGAAATTAAACACAGCTGCAGCATTTTCTCCCAGCTCAGTAGCTGGCATGGGCTCCCTCTTGCAGCCAGGTGAGTGTCCCTTAGGTTGGGGCTGGGAAGGGGAGGCTCTGTGTCTCACACTCATATAAATGCACAAGGAGTTCATCCTTTTCAAGGTGTCTTAGAGTAGGGGCCAAAAAATTGAAATAAATTAACCTGGACTCAGAGGTGAGTCAAGATCACATCCAGTGACAGAAGGGCTCGCTAAAATGCTCCTGGGGAAATATAAGTTGTTCACATGTGACTATAAGTTCTTTAAGACAGAAGGGCTTCTGGCTGTTCTGGCTGCATTTTGAGTTTCATGACGCTGGAGAGATCATAGAATCATAAAAATGTTTGGGGTGGGACCTTAAGGACCATCAGGTTCTAACTCCCCCTCTGCCATGGCAGAGATGTCCCAGGTTGCTCCAACCCCATCCAGCCTGCCCATGAGCACTGCCAGGGATGGGGCATCCACAGCTTCTCTGAGCAAGCTGTGCTAGATAAAATCACCAAGCACACAGTTTGGGTCAGCTGGAGCACTTGTTACCACCCTGACATGCACTGGTTTGATTCTGACCTTTGAAAAGTGCTCCAAGTTGTCTGACAGTGCAATGCTTCACCTTTTCAAACACCTAAACCACTCCTTTTTATAAAAATGAAATGAGAAATGTCAATTTCCAAATGTTCTTCCCCGATATTTTAATGTTGCAGAAATATATAAGAATGTGTTGGTTTAGGAATTATCTTTCGATAAATCTGCATTTTTTGGCCCAATAAAAAGGTTTTTCAAAAAATTTCTGATCACTTTAGGTATCACCTTGCTTATGCACTACCCTCATCAATCTTTTATTTTCTGGCCCAGGGTAATAACTTTCTTCTTTCTTCCTGCTCTTTGTTGTTTAAACAGCTTCTCTAGGCTTTATATTTCATCATCTTTCAGACCTCATCTTCCTCTCTGCCACCCCAACAGGGGCTTGAAAGGCAGCAGGTACCTGTGCTGGATCTGCAGTGTGCATGCTGCACTCTCTGCACCTTTTCATTCTCAGACATTACTGAGAACTTATTCAAGGATTGGTTTTTTCCCTGTTTTCTTGCCTCTTTCTGTCAGAAACTCCTTCTACAATAAAAAGTCAGCCTGCTGGAAGGACCAGCATCCCCATCTCAGCACCTGGGGGAGCAAGCAAGGAGCTGTGTTATTCTGCAGAACTCTGCCTTGTTCTGACAATTCCGTTTGGGGAAGTGAAGTTTTATGTTTAAAACAATCAAAACAACCCCAAACAAACCCCAAGTTTTCCTCACCTGGCTCAGAAGAGCAGCTTTGCAGTGCCAGCTGTGTCACTGCCATGTGGCACTGGAGGCTGCAGGGGTTTTGAGCAGCAGCCCCTGGAGATGGGATAACTCTGCATCCTAGAAGGTTTTAATCATCACTCAGGTTTTAATACTTGTGTTACCAAAAAAAACCAGCTGCTGGTGAGTTTAATGCTGGGCATCACTTGAACAGATGTCATCCAAAAGCAAGAGAAGCTGTGATCCCTGATCACCCCTGGTGTGCAGCTGATGGCCCAGGCTAGAGGGGTCTGAGCTGCTGAGCTCTTGCACCAGGACCCTGTAGCACAGAGCCTGGGCACTGTGTGGGGCTGTGCTGCAGGGATGAGCAGCTGAATCTGATTTATCCAGGAAATCTGCTGCTCCTGGGCTGCTGGAAGAGGTGATATGAGCTGATGTAAGAAGAAGGTGCAACACATCCCTGCCAATATCATTCAAGCCACTCCAAATTTTGCCCTGCAAGGATCAGACAGCATAGTCCAGAAATCTCTGGAGATGCAGAGCTTGGACTAAAGAAAAATCCCCAGGAATACATACCCTGCTGACATGCCCAGCTCTAGCAACAAAAACAGGGCAAAAATCAAAACTCCCAGGGGCTCTTTGGGCAGCAGAGACCTTGTCCAGACAAGCAGAGCTGATTTATTTCTGTGCAGAGCTCTGCAGCAGGGAAATTCTTTGCAACATTTTTCTTTGCTTGACTGAAGCACACAGACAGTGCAGTCAGTGACATCCTCACCCCAGAAAGGATTCAAACACAGCTGAGCTGAGCTGCAGCACAGGTGAAGCCAGTGGGGCTGGAGATGTGCTGAGCATCACGAGCAGCTCCAGGGCTGGAGCTCTGCTCCCAGCCATAGCAGGGCTGCAGAGACTGTCACTGCTGAGGGCTGGAGGTCACACATGAATAATCCTCCTACCAAACCTCCCACAGGTCACCTTCCAAGCACCTTGCTGGAATAGTTGAGTAAGAGTGAATAAAAACATCAGTCAAAGAGCCACGCTCAGCCATAAGCACCTGAGTTATCAGCTGAGTGGAAGAAGATAGTAATGGTGTCTAACAGCATAACCAATCCTGATCAGTTTACTCAGAATTTTAGCAATTTTTTGGTCTTTTCATGCAAAGCAAACACCTGGTATCAGCAGGGCAGATCCTGCTGCCACTGTTTAGCTTTTATTCCACCTGTACTCCCACAGGTGGGATGGGAGTCCTACCACAGTACAAATGAGTCTGTACTTGACACAGATTGAAGGTACAACCTGGGGATTCATGATTCTCTTGGTGGAACTCAGCTTCAAAGGATAAACATTCCCATAATTGGAGACACCCCAGGGTATTCAAAGGCACCCCTATAGACTGGTGGATTTGGCACAAGAGACACATAGCCTCCAAAAGTGGCAGCTGAAGACCACAGAGAGGATGTGAGACATCTCAGAATCACAGGATCACTTTCACTGGAATTACATTTAAGGTCACAGAGTCTTGCTGGTGACCCAGCACTGCCAAGCCCATCACTTGAATCCTGTCCCTAAGTGCCACATCTCATAGAGACCTCCAGGGATGGTGACCCCACCACTGCCCTGGGCAGCCTGTTCCACTGCTTGACAACCCTTAAGGAAAAGAAATTTTTCCTAATATCCAATCTAAACTTCCCCTGGCTCAACTTGAGGCTGCTTCCTCTCATCCCAAACCAAAACAGCAGGAGGCTCAAGGTTTGAACCCCACCTTCAATCTCCGCTAATATGGGAACCAAAGACATACATCAGTGCTTATGATGAGAAAAAATAGGATTTTGGAGTTTTCCCAACAATCAAACATTGAAAGTAGACCATGGAGCCAGCAATGCTCGGGTACCTCAGCATCATCACACCCACAACTCATTGTCATGGGAAGGATCACTCTCCTGGAAGGTGCAGCCAGGTGATGGAAGTTTGAATGCAAAGTTCTAAGGTCAATAGAACAAGAACCCTCACACAGGAGCTGGTGAGTAATTCCCATAAGATCTGCAGTGGGATTTGGGGAAGGAACAGCTGCATTTGTCTGCCTGCTCCTTGGGCATGTTCCACCTGCTTAATTGAAGGCAGGTCCAAGTGAGCCATCTGTTGACCTGGTTGAGGAATCAGAGCTTCCCACTAATTTAAAGATAATTCTTACAGGTTATTAAAGGCCTAGAAGGGAAGGAGAGATGGATAGAAAACAACAGTAAGAAGCTTTGCCTCAGAGACACAGGTAATATCTGTAACAGCTGCTCCACCCTATACCTTAGCTAATTGTTAAATGAATCACCCTGGCAAAAGAAGCATTAATAAAGGGAAGCGAAGACTGAACATCTGGAAAATAATATGAAAGGGAAGAATTTTCATATTTTGGAACTCCTTGCTGGGTGGGAACTGCTTGGGGAGACAGCTCTAATTGCTTGTCTGAGAGAATGAAAAGCAAATCTATTCCCAGTCTGAAATCAGCACAGTCATTGTGAATTCCTCTCTGCTCTCCTGTCCCAGTGCCACAGCTCTTACAGGGGGCCCTGACCTGCAAATATCAGACAAGCTCTTCATCTTCTGCTCCTTGGCCAGACAGCAATGTGCACCACAAAGGCAGTGGTGTGCAGCAGCCTCCTGCTGTCAGATTTGTGGTATTCTGATTTGGTTCCCTTATGAAAGCTGAATGGGAACCAGGAGTTTTCCAGAGTTTCAGCTGGATCCAAGCTCAGAAGCTGTTTTCAGCAGCCAAGTGCAAGATGCAGGATCAAAATAAGGTTTTTCTGGAGTCACCAGCCAGTCTTGGTGCTGCTGGGTGGTTACTATTTGATTAACCATCTTTCTGCCTGAGGCTGTCAGGCTTTCCTGGCAATGGCTGTGGGGCAGGAGAGGAGAACACCAGGCCTGCTGCTGCTTGCTCCTGCTGTGCTTTGCAACTCTTTGCTGGATACAGAGAGCTAGACACATGGCCTGTTTCTCTCTCTACAGAAAAAAGGACATGGCTAACACACAGCAGAGTCCTCTGTGCAAGGCCCTTGTCCAGCACAGCAAGGAGCTCTGCAAAATGAGCCCACACCACAGACCCTTCATGATTTGACACTGGAAACTGGGCTGCATGAAACTCTGGAACGTTCTTGGGTCCCATTCAGCTCTGGTGAGAACCAAACCAGGGTACCACAAGTCTCTCTGATAGTAGGATGCTGGGATTTTAGCACACACCTGGAAAACAGATTGTGCTGCAATACCTGTGCACTAACAGAGTCTGACTGGGTTTGGCTTTTCTGCTCACCATCTCCTGCTCACCATGTCCTGCCCACCATTTCCTCACAGAAGCAGCTCATAGTGATCATGATTCTCCCACATTCCCTTCATTTGGTCTTCTTGCTCTTCTGCCATTCTTCAAATTCTCAGTCTCTTGTCTTGGAGAAGAATCTCCTTCCCTTAACACCTCAAAGGGCACTGTGCAGCCAGGTCTCCATCCAGCAGAGGCAGAGCTGGTGCTGCACAAACCAGTCCTGGGCAGCCACTTCCCAGGGCACGTGTCCAGCAGGGCACAGAGGGTCTGCAGCAGGGCCATGGTGAGGGCAGGGGAGAGAAGCATCTCTCTGCAGCACGACAGGCTCACAGCTCTCTCGTTTCAGCAGGAGTGTAAAAGTCTGAGCCACTTTTCTAAATAGAGCCAGGAAGTAATTCAACTACCCAAATGTAATGCTGCTCCCAGGCCAAGCTTGCATGGCATTGCAGTGTGTCACTCCCCTCCAAGCTTTCAATTTCCACCTGCAAAAGGAATGGGAAAGGTTTTCAGTATTTTAGCTTTTTCTTGGTGTAGGTGAAATGCCAACCTGAGCACAGGCAGAGCTCTTAGGTGGCACCCCACTCCTAAGGTCCCCAGCATTACCTGGCATGTCCCAAATGTCACCTCTCTGAGGACCCTGGACACCTGTCTCTTCACCAGCTGAACGCAAAACTTTCTGCAACTGGTTCCTCCTACCTACTTCTCCCTGATGCTCTTCTGGAATATTTCAGCATGGGAATCAATTTTGCAGGCAGGAGACCTGACACAGAGATGCTCCCTCTGGTACAGAGATGTGCCACCAGCTCCTGGCACAGGGATGTGCCACCAGCTCCCTGGCACCGTGTGGCACTCGGGAGGGCTGTCCAGTGGCACAGAGCAGAGGAGGGCTCTGCTCAGGCCTGGAGAGGGACACAGCACCCCGGGCACCCTTGGGTGCAGGGAGAGAGCAATGCCACTGCAGCGCAGACACTGCTGAAGCAAAGAGGGGAGGGTTGGGGCTGGGCAGGAACGTTCCCAAACATCCACACAAGGATCCTAAAGCATAATTATGAAATTTTAAAAAACAACTTGACGTTATAATTATCAGGGTTCCTGGAGGAGCGGCGTAATTGAATTCGAGGGTGTCTCGCTCTCATTGCAGGCACTAACGAGAGAGCGGCTCCGCTTCCCCCGCAGCCTTCCCGGAGCCCTGCAAAGCTCGGGAGACACCCAACAATTCAATTATTGTTTCCCTCTGGAAAGCAGATCATTTTAGACACGCGGCCAGCTCTAATTACAAAAGGAGAGGGGGAGAAAATTTCTTGTGTCCAAAATTATTTGACTCATTAAAAGGATTTATTTTTCTGCCAGGCCTGAGGAGCCGGAGCTCTGGTGCAAGGATGGGAAGCAGCGAGGAGCAGCGGCTCTGGCAGGAAGGATGGAGAGGCACCCCTGCCCTGCAGCGGTCCCCTGTGCTTGGGGAGCCCCTCCAGGTCCCCCTTGGCCAGGAAAAGCTGATTTCCATGCAGAAGGAGCCGGGGCTCCAGCCAGGGCTGCTCAGAGCTCACACAGACCATGGGTGTGTGAGGAGAGCAGGGTTCGACCGGAGCTGCGGGAATTTCCCTCCTCGGCAATGATGCCATGAGGTCCTTCACTCAAAAGCTTCATTATGCTGTTGTGGTTTTTCGGGTTTTTTCCCCCTTCGGATTATTTTTAAATGCTCTTTTGTGGTGAAAGACGATTTTGTGTAGGGGAGGTCCCTTTTCCAATTAGCAGTAATTAACTCATCTGTAATGGGGTTTTTTATAGCCCTCCATTTCCTGTGGCAGGGAGAAGGACAGGGGCAGGAGGAGGCTGAGCTGCTGCTCTGCCCCAGGATGAATCAGGGCACTCCAACCCTCCCAAGACAACACTTTAGACGGGATTTTCTTCCATTTTGTCTATTTTTATAATTTTTTATAATTAAAATAATGCCTTCATAGGCTTTACAGGAGCAAAGCTGCTGAGCAGTGTGGACAGCTTGGGCAAGAAAAAGCGATTCTGGGTAAAAGGCTCCGGAATCACTGCATGCCCTCATCCCCAAATCCACACCTTCCCTCCTCTCCAGTGCAATGAAATTAATTCCAGCGTAGTGTTTATGGTTAATTTGAAATCCAGCACTTGTTAGCTAATCCTGTTAGTAGCTTGCAAAAACAAGGGTTCCCTTGTATAATCAGTAATTATAACAGGCGTTTTATGTTAAATTGTATCTAATAGGCAAGACAAAAAGAGAGATGTGTTCTCAGATGGAGCTTTCCTCATTAGAAAAAAAAATCAAAAAGAGGTAAAAAGTCTTCTCCATTATGAAATTATACACCTAGAGGGGAAATTAAATATATATATATATATATATATATATATATATATATATATATATTAGCTGGTGGATGTCACAGCAGAGTGTCACATCAATAAGTTTGGGATGGCACAGTGTCAGGGGTGGGAGTTCAGAGTGGTTTCTGCGCCCCCGGCAGGACCTGGCCCGGCCGCCTCCGAGGGCTGAGGAGCTGCGTGTCCCCAGGGCAGGAGGAGGAGGAGGAAGAGGAAGAGGAGGAGGAAGAGCGTGTGTAGCCCAGGGCAGAGCGGTGCTTTCCGGGCCCCGGTGCCCGGCTCCGCATGGACGCTCCGTGCCCCGCATCCTCCGCACCTTTTGGGGCCAGAGTGCGAGAATCAGTGAGAAATGGTGCCCCAAAAAACCCCAAAAGTTAAAAATAAAATTTTTAAAAAATTACCATTAAAAAAATAAAGCCCATCCTGCTGCGCAGAAAAGGATTTGTGCCCTGAGCAGCAGCACCCACTCCCAGCCCGGGGGGCTCCCCCCGGCTCTCTCACCCTTTTGTCTGGCTGTAGGGCCACCGGCCCCGGGTTCCGTGGGTTATTGGCTGTAATGACTGATGGAAATAAAAGAAGGTAGAAAAAAAAAAAGTAAAATAAAAATTTTAAAGAATTAAAAAATAAATTTTAAAAAATAAAATAATAAATAAAATAAAAATAAAGTAAAGTAAAATAAAATAAAATATATAAAAATTAAATTAAATTAAATTAAAATAAAATAAAATAATAAAATCCAAGCCCCCGGGGCAGGCTGGAGTGCTCCATTCTCTGCAACTTTTTCCCCGTCTGAAAATCACACTTCCATTAAACCGTCCCCTAAAATGTGACAATGTTTAACTACCGGAGTTATTGTAAATACGTTTAATCAAATAGACTCCTGAGGAAATCTCCCTCCATAAACACGCAATCTTGTCCTTTAAACACGTGTATAATCAGGAAATCTAATTAAAAGCTGATGGGAGGCCGCGGCAGGTTAATTCTGCGCGGGCGCGGGCGGGATGCGCGGGTGCCTCCGCTCGGCTCCTCCATCCCGGATGGCAGAGCCTGCCCGGATCCCAAACACCGCGTGTCGGGGCCAGGAGCGAATGTTGTTTTAGCAGGAAAGCAGTAATAACAAAGCCATTTATGCAAGCACATTAGAGCGGCCGGAATCCCTCCTCTTAGTTAAAATTTTTGAGCCAGAAAATTAAAAACAAATATTTAACTTCGCAATTTTCGCACACGCGCACACACACACACACATGCGAAACTTTCCGCATGCATATGGATGAAGCCGGGCCCGCGCTCCGGAGATGGTTTAATGCGCTTTGGGATAAATTCAGATAAATTCATGGGGTTTTGGGGCGATCCCGTGCGGGTACACCGCGGGAATGGGCGGGGGGAGCGCGGAATTCCAGGGGCATGCGGGAATGGGGGAAGGGAAGGGAAGGGAAGGGAAGGGAAGGGAAGGGAAGG